AGGTACCTTTAAGGAAGTCTGGTGACGCAGTGCCTAAGGTATTGGACTGCTGATCAGAAGGTTGGTAGTTCCAACCCACCAGCCACTCCGCGGAAAGAAGACGGGACAATTCACTCCCGTAAAGATTTACCGCCTCAGAAACCCAATGAGGGTCGCTAGGAGTCGGAATTGACTGGATAGCAGTGAGTTTGGTTTGGTTTTGGTTTCTTAGGTACCTCTGCTTTACAGATGAAGAACCTGCCATTCAGAAGGGTGGGGGCGCTGCTTCTGATGCCTGGTCCAGGCCTTCAGGTGGTCGACCTGTCCCCAGCTCACAAAGGGGAGCTTTTAACCCCAGAGAGGCAAAAATCAAAAACTAAACCGGCTGCCATTGAGTCAATTCCAACTCACAGTCAACCCAATAGGTCAGATTAAAACTGCCCTATAGGGTTTCCAAGGAGCTCTGGTGGCCTAAAGCATTTGACTGCTAACCAGAAGGCTGGCGGTTCAAACCCACCAGCCACTCCTCAGAAGGAAGATGGGGCAATCGACTTCCATAGTGATACTGCCTCAGAAACCCAAGAAGGGGTCACTATGAGTCCGATCTGACTCGAGGGCAGTGAGTGAATTAGTTTTTATAGGGTTCCCAAGGCTATAATCCTTATGGAAGCAAAATGCCAAACTTTCTCCCACCAAACAGCCACCCACCAACCTTTTGATTAGCAGCTAAGCACTTAACCATTGCACCACCAGGGCTCCTAACAGAGAGGCAAGTGTGTCTATTTGGGAAGAGAGTGTGGTAGGCGCATGGGCTGACACAGGCCTGGCTTACACTAATGAGTAAGCGTGGAGGTTAGGACCGAAGCTAGGGAACCGCTGAAAATTACCCTAAGCAGAAGTTTGGTGGCATGTGTGTCCAGCAAAACCTAGCTCTGCACATGGGGACGATAAGATTGGGGAGCAAACTGATTCACAAGGCGGCAAGGCAGGGTGGGGGGGAGACTGTTTCTGCTGTCACCAGGACTGCTAACACTACCCCCTGGAGCAAGCCACCACCCAGACCTACAAACTCCTCTCTGCTCCTGTGTGGTTCCCACGCTCAGTGGTGAGGTGAGAGAAGGGCAGTGACACAGGTCTCCTGGCATGGTGGCTGCCTGTGGCGCCCACACCCTCCCTCCCAGCCCCAGGGGGCCGGGTTTGTTTACCTCTCAGCAGTGTGGTGGCAGCCAGACCCAGAAGAGCCTTGGCCTCCAAGCCACAAGGCTCCCTGGGACGCCCAGCCTCCCCTAGTGATGCCCCCGGGACCCTGCCAGGAAAACAGACCATTCCATCTGTGCACAGGGAGGGGAGGTTCCCACAGAGCTGGGGGTGAGGTGTAGAAACTGAGAGGACACTCACAGATGTCCTCTTCACTCTCACTGTGGGCGACAGGGACATCACAGACGCCTGCCTGTTCTTCAGAGTCCAAGCTTTCCTCCCCACCAATGGACCTAAAGGGTGGGCTCCTGATAGGGGCTTGGAAGGGAGAGGGCTGGCCAGTGACCGTCTCTGCTGAGTAGGGGCTAGACCAAATTGCCAGGATCACCTGAGAAGGACCTGTGATTCCTCAGCACTCATCTACCCACCCAAGGGCCCAGGCTTATGGGGGTGTCCTGAGGGGACCTGCACTAGGACCTCTCACTACCATTCACTACCAGTGAAGGCCTTGGTCATCCAGAGCTGCCCAGGGGCACCTTCCTGGCCACAGAAAGACAGGGCTGTGGTGGTGACTATAGACAAAGCATGGCTGCCCCCAAACCTTTGTGGTGTCCTAAGGAGCCTGGTCTGGCTGACTCTCCCCTCTGGCGTGGGCCGGGAATGGCTAGAGTATACTGTTCAGCCTCCACCAGGACAGAACTGAGTTTGCAATCTCAGGGGGCCTGACTGTGACATCTGTCCCCGACTAGAGCCCAAGGAGGAGGTTGCCAGGCTGCCTGGGGGGGGCACCTCCCTGGTGGCTACAGGCCTCACAGCCATACTCCACGTCTCTTGCCTGCCCCCTACCTCCCCGCTCTGGCTGTCTCAGGGGCCCCTCAGGTTGCTAAGCCGTGGGCTCAGCCCAGGCTTAGACTGTCCTTTCCCAGAGACTGTTAATCCATCCCCCACCCTACTCCCAGCATTCCTCCCCCCTCTTCCTCATCTTCCTCAGCTGCTTCCTCCTTAGAGAGGAGAGACCCAGGCAACCAGTAGGTCTCCTCAGCCCAAGGAAGGGCCGGTCCCCTAAGGCTTCCCACTTGGCAGCTGTGAAGGCTGTAGGGGGTGAGGGCAGGCCTAACTCCCTTCCAGCCCTTCCCAAGGTAGTGGGAGAGCAGTGTCCCCACTGGGCATGGGGGTCCAGGCAGGGAGCCTGGAGTTTCTGTGCTTCTATGGGAGCTCTGGTAGCATAGTACCTAAGGCATTTGACTGCTAACTGGAAGGCTGGCTGTTCAAACCCACCAGCCACTCCTTGGAAGGAATTGGGCAGTCTACTTCCATAAAAATACTGCCACAGAAACCCAAGGGGGTCGCTATGATGGAGTTGACAGCAGTGAGTTTTATATATATATATGGGGGTCACTATGAGTCGGGACCGACTCGACGGCAAATAACAACAACAACAACAACATGTATATATATATATATAGAGAGAGAGAGTGAGGTCTGGGGATGTTTGAAGGAAAAAAATTTCAGAACAATGTAGGGGTTGGTGAGGATGGTTTGGGGTGGGGCTGAGAGAGAAGAGGTAATCACACAGGCCCTGGTGAGCTGAAATGGAGGACCTAGCTCATCCTAAGTTTAAGCCAGGGAGCGAAAGCACTGGCCTCAAACTGGGGACTTCTCGTGGCACCCTTTCCCCTTCCCACAGCTCTAGGATGGAGATGGATGGAGGCCTAGCTGACAGGTTTGAATCTCATTGCACCACCTGGCCTGGGCTAGAGTTTTACATGGACTCTGATGAGCCTGGGTGGCGGACAAGGGACGATCACATTGATGCAGAAGTAAAATCTAGGGGATGTTCCTGCATGGCCCACACCTGAACTCTGGGATGACACGTCTCTAATACCTGCTGGAACCAAAGCACTGTTTCCTTCAAGCCCCCAAGTGTACGGCTACTCCCTCAGCTCCTGGGGCCCCTCCCTAGTGCCCAGGACCACGTGGCTGTATTTCTAGAATAGGAGGAAGGATGGGGGAGGGGTGTGGGTGTGGGGTGTAAGGGGTGTGTGTGTGTGGGGGAGAATCAGAGGTCACTGTAGAGAGGCAGGCTGAGGGGAGGGGGGCCAGGCCCATGGGTCAGCCCACTAAGCCCTTAAAAGTCCTTACATAAGCACCAGCTCCCAGCAGAGCCTCCGGCTAATTCTCCTGGACCACCCCCCAGGCCCAGCTGTCAGGACGCCTCCCTGAGCTGAGCACCAGCAGATGGGACACAGAAAGACGTCCAAAGCCGCTGGACCAGAATGGCAGTAGACTGCTTTCAAGCTGTGATGCAATTCAGAGATTAGCTGCTGTCTCCTTTTCTGCCAGTGCCCCAGGGGCCAGGGTCAATCTCTCCACCCTTCCTCCAGTGACCCTCATTCCCTTACAGACGCCAGCAGGGGTGCTGAGTCTTACAGAGCCCCTGAGGTGGGCAGAGCTGGTGAGGAGGGCGGTGTCCTCACCCAGCCCAGAGGAGGAGATGCATTTGGGCACCTACACCGGCAAGCAGGGCTGGAGACGGCCAGTTCTGGGATGAAACAGCTAAGGAAGAGTACCGCGTTGGACAGGGATTCCAGCAAGCATTACTGGAAACAGAAGATGGGGCCACTTGGACCAGGTGTCGTCGAATGTGTAGTCGAGGTGCCAGCCAGGTCTAAGATTCCGGGGTGGCTTTTTACGACCTGCTCCCTAGCCTCCGCACCCTCGGGCAACGCTGCGCCAAGCCCTGTGCCTAGTGCCCGCCTGCAGCCCCAACCAAAGCCGGGTGCGTGGCGTCTGAAGCCCGTTTCAGGAAGTTAGCGATGAGGGCTGCGAGAGAGCAAGGATGCGTGGCCAGCCCTCCCTTCCCTGCCGCGTCCACGGAGCCGCCACGCACTCCTCGCCGCCCGCCCCGGATGCGCCCCGCGCTCGGCCCTAGGCGTCACCTCTCGGGCTCGTAGCCGGCCTGCAGCAGGCGGGCGCTGTACCGCTGCGCCGCCGTCTCGTGTCCCGGGTGTTGCCGGGTTCCGGGCTCCGGAACCGCGGCGGCTCCGCCTCCCTGCAGCGGTGGCGAGAGCTGCCCCGACCCCAGCAGCGGCGGCCCCTCCATGCGGAGGCCGCGCTCTGGGCGGGCGGGAGCCTCTCCGCCTGGAGGCTCCCCGGGCCCCGCTGGGGAGTGAGCGCCTCAAAGTCTGGTCCCGGGGCGGGGGCGGGGCCGGAGTGCTGGAGCGGCTCGGGGGCGGGCCTAAGGGCGGGGGCGGGGCCTGAGTGCCGGGGCGGATCCGCCGGGAGGCGGGGCACCCGGGTAGACCGGGCTCCGCCCTGGGCCACTCGCTCCTCCCCGCCCCTCCACGCGGCCGCTGGGGCTCGGCACTCCTGTCTAGTCTCCGAGTCACCAAGGAGATACCGGGGGTGGGGTGGGGGGGAGGGTGTCGCCCACGGTGGCACTGGGAAGGCCCCGCCTACCCCTTCCCCGCCCTCCGGACCTTCTCGTGGCCCAGTCGGAAAGGAGCGCAGACTGGCTGGAGGGGTCGGGTGCTCTGCATCTGGGAGACTCTGGCCTGGATCTCTGGCTCGGCTTGTGATTGCTCGGCTTCGTCGGAACGAACGTCTGCCGCAAACCTCCCTCACTAGAGCCAGATGGCAGGGGAGATGTCTATCTCCTTTGGCCTCTCGGGATCTCCACAAACTCCACCTTCCCTCCGCCACTGCTGTGGATTCGATTCCGACTGATGGCGACCCTAGAGGGCAGAGCAGACTGCCCCCTAGGGTTTCCAAGGCTGTAATCTTTAAGGACGGCCGGATCTTTCTCACGCTGAGCGCCTGGCAGATTCGACAGTCTACCTTTTGATTATCAACCCAGCGTTTTCACCATTGTGCCACCAGGGCTCCTAGACAGCACCTTAGGTCAGAGAAAAACCGATTTACCCCGGCGTCCCCTCCCGCTGCCTGAGAAAGTAACAGAAAGCGCCTTAACAGCAGGGACCTTGTCTCTCCTCGTTTGGGGTACCCCATAACCAAGAGGTGCTGCTCACACTTGTTAGAAAGCATCTATTTCGTCATTGTTATCACGGTGGGCAGTGATTGAGCGCCTAGCAAAGGTGGAAAGGAAAAGTGAAAGTCCACAGGCAATCTATCTGAGGAGACAGCAGATTAAAAATAAACATCTGACAATTCTTATACCGGGTACTTTTAAAAAAAATCTGACAATCTGCAGGAGCAAATGGTAAGCACTGAATAACGGGATTGCTGGGATGCGTTGCAAGGAGGGAGAGTTATGGGTCAGATTTTTCAGCAAATATCAAAGGAAATTAAATTTATGCAAAGGTAAGAGCTTGCACTTTGTGCTGCCTGATACCTTTTCCACACCACTCCCCAGGAGCTCTGGTAGCGTAGTGCCTAAGGCACTTGGCTGCTAACCAGAAGGCTAGCGGTTCAAACCCACCAGCCACTCCTCCGAAGAAAGATGGGGCAATCTACTTCCGTAGTGATACCGCCTTGGAAACCCAAGGAGGGGTCTCTATGAGTCTGGTCCGACTCGAGGGCACATAACAACAACAACAACCCCAGATTCAAGGTTAAAACAGTTTGTCTGGCTCTTGGCCACAGATGAAATCCTGTCACTGCGAATGCCATGACAGACTAGATTTTGTATAACAAGATTATTTCCATGTCCCTGCAGAAATCTCAAAGAGGCAAAGGTGGACTGATCTAAATTGTGCACAGTGATAGAGTCATTTTTCTGGTCCCTATTTGTGAAATAATCATTCCTGCACAAGAGAAGAGCTGACCCACAGGCTTATGACTGTAAACAGGAGAGGTAGAATTCCCCTTTTCCGTGTGGAAGACCCAGGTTCAATTCCCAGCCACCACCCTTTGGTCAGTGGAAGCCTGGGTGTTACTGGGATGCTGAATAGGCTTCAGGAGAGTTTCCAGACTAAGAGAGATCAGGAAGAAAGGCCCTGGCAATCTCTTTCTGAAAATCAGCCAGTGAGAACCCTATGGTCATGACAGTCCTGTCTGCAACTGATCAGGGGGATGGCAGGACCAGGCGGCATTGTCCCCAGGGTCTCCGTGAGCAGGGGCCGGCTCAGCAGCAGTTAACAACAACGAGGTATACCAAGGCAGACTGAAGCTAGTGAAGCTAGGTCCTGCGGTTAGGTGGGCTTGGGTCCAAGTATGGGCTTTACGATATAATCACCCGCGTCACAAACTCTCTCCAAGCCTCTGTTTCCTCATCTTTCAAATGGGTCAATAATATTTATCTGAAACCAGAGAGCTAATGCTTGTAAAATTCCTAGTGCCTGGTATGCTCTTAATAAACGGAAACAATGATTACTATGAATGAAGGAAGCTGTACCTGTGTTCGTACCACGACAATAAACATGACAGTATATCATATGACAATATATGATCATGTCGGTCATCTGTCCATTCTGTGAATGTTCACTAGTGCCCTCCCATGGGCCAACAGGGTAGCAGATACTGGGAGGACAATGGGGAATAGGATCGTCCTTGTCTTTGCTATCCTGCACCCTAAAGTGCAGTGGGACGGAGAGACAATCTGAATACAGTGGGAAAGACCCTGACAGGTAGGAAACCCACTCCACCTGAAACAGCCTAGCTCCTGGGCAGTACTACATGGAACCTGGCCATATGTTCTGAAAGAGAAATAAATCAGGTGCCCTTCCAAAGGCCTCTGGAAGGAGGTAGGTAGCATACAATAAAAGCATGCCCCACACATGTGTAATGAGGGGGCCCAAGAAGTGAGGAGATCCAGCACTTGCAAGTTCATTAGAGTGGCTCTGTCTTTTCTCCAGAGCCTGTTGGCTACAAATGAGATAGTTAGACACTATTCATTAAAACAATCCCATTAAGATGGGATAACCCAAGGGCCTCAGCACTTCCTGTGAAGGGATTGGATTTACATGAATATCTGGACCAGCGCTTCTTACCAGGGACGATTCTGCAACACCCTCCTCTTGCCCCAAGCAGTCCAATGTCTAGAGTTATTTTTGGTTGTTACAAGGTGGGGTTGGGAGTGGGAGGTGGGGTGTGGAAGTGGGGTGGGGGGATCAGCGTGGGGGGTGTCGCTGCCATTTGGTAAGTAGAGGCCACAGGGCTTCTGCTCACCAGTCTGCACTGTGCCAGAAGCCCTCCACAGCTCAGACTCATCCGGCCTCAAATGGCAGTGGTGAGTAGCTGAGGAGCCCTAATCTACAGGAACTGTTTGAAGAAACCAGAATGAAAGCGAAACAACTTGATTTTCGTAAGGAAGTCAGGACAATGAGTTGTTCAGTCTTTTCTCCATGAAAAAGCCATGTAGCCTCTCTGGTCCTCAGTTTCCTCGTGTGAGAAATGAGAGGGTGGATTCAATGATGCAGAAAGTCCCTTCCAGCTTGGAAAAAGTATATGAATCAAATATACTTACGTGTATATTTGGGGCTTGGAGACCGCTTTTCACTTGGGTGTGGCTCTATATTAAGGCCAGGGCCTGAGGTAGGCAGGTGCAGAGGGGTTAGGAACAACTAAGGGAGGTGAACTTGTCTGTCAATCTGTCGTCCTGTGCTGGCTTATGTGTTGCTGTGAGGCTGGAGGCTATGCGACCGTGTTGCAAAATGCCAGAAGGGTTATGTGTGGTGGATAGGTTTCAGCAGAGCTTCCGGGCTTAGACAGACGCAGAAGAAGGAAGAGGCCACCCACTTCTCAAAGAATTGGCCAGTGAAAACCTTATGAATAGTAGGGAAACACTGTCTGATATATTCATGGAACACTTTACGAACAGCCCCGACACGGAGCTGGAAGATGAGCCCATCAGGTCGGAAGGCACGCAAAATTTGACTGGGGAAGAGCTGACTTCTCAGAGTAGGGATGATCTTAACCATATGGATACAGTAAAGCTTTCAGGACCTCCACTGGCTGATGTGGCACAACTCAAAATGAACAGAAACAGATGTAAACATCCATTAATAATTAGAACATGGAATGTATGAAGTATGAATCTAGGAAAATTGGAAGTTGTCAAAAATGAAATGGAATGCAAAAAGATTGATATCCTAGGCCTTAGTGAGCTGAAATGGACTGGTTTTGGCCATTTTGAATCAGACAACCATGTTATCTACTATGCTAGGAATGATAAATTGAAGAGGAATGGTGTGGCATTCATCGTCACAAAGATGATCAAGATCTGTCCTGAAGTACAATGCTGTCCGTGATAGAATAATATCCACACGCCTACAAGGAAGACCAGTTAATACAACTTATTCAAATTTATGCACTAACCACCAAAGCAAAAGATGAGGAAATTGAAGATTTCTACCAGCTTCTGCAGTCTGAAATTGATCAAACATGCAATCAAGATGTGTTGATTATCACTGATGACTGAAATGCAAAAGTTGGAAACAAGAGTTACCAGTAGTTGGAAAATAAGGCCTTGGTGATAGAAATAACGCTAGAGATCACATGATAGAATTTTGCAAGACCGACATCTTATTGATTGCAAATACCTTTTTTCAACAACATAAGTGGTGACTATACACATGGACTTAACCACATGGAATACACTGTAATCAGATTGACTTCATCTGTGGCAAGAGGTTATGGAGAAGTTCAATATCTTTGGCCAAAACAAGGCCAGGAGCTGATTGTGGAACAGACCATCAACTACTCATATGCAAATTCAATCTGAAGTTGAAGACAATTTAAGCAAGTCCACAAGAGCCAAATATATCCTTGATAATATCCCTCCTGAGTTTAGAGACCATTTAAAGAATAAATTTGATGCATTGAACACGAATGACCAAAAACCAGAGGAATTGTGGGATGACATCATCCATGAAGAAAGCAAGAGGTCATTAAAAAGACAAGAAAGGAAGACCAAAATGGTTGTCAGAAGAGACTCTGAAACTTGCCCTGGAGTGGAGAGTAGCTAAAGCAAATGGAAGAAATGACAAGATAAAAGAGCTGAACAGACGATTTCAAAGAGCAGCTCGAACACACAAAGCCAATTACTATAATGAAATGTGCAAAGACTTGGAGTTAGAAAACCAAAAGGGAAGAACATGCTTGGCATTTCTCAAGATGAAAGAACTG